TGGGGGCGGCGTGATGGTATGGGGCGGTAGATGCAACAGTGTGAGGTCACTGGGGGAAGGTGATGGGATGGGGCGGTACCTGCAGCAGTGAGAAGTCATTGGGGGCAGGGTGATGGGATGGGGGTGGTACCTGTAGCAGTGTGAGGTCACTGGGGGAAGGGTGATGGGAAGGGGCGGTACCTGCAACAGCATGATGTCATTGTTAATAGTCACTCTGTTGTATTGTGGGTGGGGGATTGAGCGACGGACAGGGATCCACTGTTCATTGTGTTCCCAATTCCTAAGGTTGTGGGTTCCCAGCCTGACAGCGATGATGCTGTAAAGCCAAGAGGAACACATGGTGTGTTAGGAGCAACAGAGCACATGAGGTGGGGATGGGCCCATGCAGGTCTGACTCATGAATCCTTATTTTGGGGGCTCTCAGGAAGAGATCTAGGACTCAGCTTACAGCCTGAAATAATGTACATTCCTCTGAACACATGGCTGGCTCTGATCTGACCTCATGGTGGAAGACTGGCTGGCTCTTTGGGGCAGGGAATGGGACACAGGGCCTTTTCCCTCTAGGGGGTGCCGGTTGCAGCATAAAGCCCCTCCCTTGTGATGTTGGGGTCCCAGCCTGTGTCTCTACCAGGCCTTGTGCTGTTCCCCGAGTTCCTTCACTCCCCATTGTCCTCCTGGCCCCTGGATCTTAGCTCCCCTGCAGCCCGGTGACCCCTCCCCAATCAGATCCAAACAAGGGACTATACACAGCTCCCCCTAGACCAGAGCCCTGTGAGCCCCTCCATGCCCAGGTCAGGACAATGGGCCACATCCAAAGCTGGTGCAACGGGATGGAGCTCCACTGGCATCAATGGGGACAGACCCCCAGCGACCATGGTTTCCACAGGCCCCTAGAGACACACCGATACCCCCTGAGCAGATCAGACCCCTGGGCTCTGCTCTCCCAGCCTGTCACACTAACTGCTCCTTCCCTGCAACCCATGATAGTGCCAGAGCTCCCGGCTCCCCCATCACCTGCTAACCCCGACCTGCCCCATCATCCCCAGCACAGAGGCGCTTTCTCTCCATTGCAG